TGGTGGCGAAAGTGGAATCGCGGATAATGATCCAATTGGCGCTAATGTTGACAATCCAACGCGTAATAATCCGAGCACATCAAATGGCAATGGAAAGAAGCCCAAAGGTTCAAAGAAAGTAGGCAAAGGCACACGATCAAAGAAAACAAAGGTAACGCCAAAGTTGAAGAAGCACAAGTGTCATGTTTGCGACTATTTGGCATCGGACAAGGCAAACCTGACACGGCACATGCGCGTCCACACCGGCGAGTGGCCTTTTACTTGTGAAATATGCGCAAAGACCTTTACATTTAAGAGCGTATTGAATCGTCATAAGAAAGTCCATTTACCAAAATTACCATTCCGTTGTTTGAAGTGTCGTAACGGTTTTACAAAAGAAATCGATAAAATTAACCATGAAAATTAATGCTTATGGCCACAATACCAGTGCCACATATGTAAAAGCACAACTCGGAATTTGTTTGATCTGAAGCGGCACATGCGAATCCATAATGGTGTGAAGCCATTCAAATGCCGTGTTTGCTCCAAATCATTTAGTCAGAAAGGTTCTCTCAATGCTCATTTACGCATACATGTCGAACAACTTCCATTCGACTGCTTGAAATGTGGCCAACGATTTGAGAAAGAAAACCAGATGATATCGCATGAAAATCATTGCACCAGTCGCCGATACGTTTGTTATCTATGCCCGTACAAATGTTTTAACAAAGGTCAATTGCAACTCCACATGCGATCAAAGCACACTAGTGAAAAACCATTTTTGTGTGCATTTTGTGAAAAGACATTCTATCAAAGAATTGATCTTAAACGACACTTGACAACACACAACAAAAAACAACCGATTCGTTGCTCAAAATGCTGGAAGAAGTTTGTTGAAGAAGGCGACAAGAAAGTACACGAAGAGCATTGCAACCGACGTCACTATCAGTGCTATTTGTGTCGAATTTCAATGCAGAATTCATCCGGTTTGAAGGTCCATACTCGTAATCACCACACCGGCGATAGACCATTTTCATGCGATTTCTGTGCTGCTCGTTTTGTATGGCGATTTGGTTTTAAACGTCACATGGAAACTGTTCATCGTTTTAAGAAGTGATGGTGAACTTGCATCAATCATCTCATCCTTACTATGAACATTACATACATTGCATATTTTTGATATACATATATTTACGCAAAGAATTAGAATTTAATTGAATATAAATTACAACTTTCGCCATTTTCATCATAAATATAAAGTACCAAATAAAATCTTCTTTTGTTTCAAATTTGAAAGAAGTTTCTTATTATGTGGATTTGAAAATATTAATTGGCACTTATTCATTTTCTTTTGCACCAAAATAAAACACTCTATGTTCTCTAGCATTATAAACTGTAAATGAATACAACTGAAAAGGCAAAATGATGCAACAATGCTAATGTTTTCTAGCAAATAATGTGCTTCTTCGATTAAAAAATCTTCATTACCTTGGAATAGAAGATATTCTTGTTTGATTTCAATTAGATACCGTTTGACACAATTTTATATGAAAATATTCTTTTGACCAATGTTCATACCTAAAGAAGAAAATGATGTTCTGAGTATGAATTCTACAACATTTTTTTGACTTTTTATTTTGAGTAAAAAAGCGAGTATTGTTCATAAAATACACTAAAAATACGAAACATCTGTCTATGCCTCGGTAGATCCATGTTCAATTAGTTCGATGCCATGTTGGCTACTCCTGGCATCATGACGATAGGCCGTAGTTCTTTCCAACGATTTGCATGATATTTTCTCAGTGATTCGTTGAATGGGCTTTAGTTTTACCACACAAAATATAAAACACAATACCAGTAGTACCTCTATTACTCTTAACTCTACCAAACTGTAGCTGGATGCAGTAATTATGGGTTGAGCATACGATTGAACGTTGTCCATTTTGAAGACCATCGGTTCTTTTGGAGTAGATACCAATTTTTTGTCAGTAGTTGAATCGATGGTAGGTGTCATCCCTCTTTTTGGCTCATGAGATTCGCTTGATTCAACCTTAATATGATCTGTATCAGTGAGGTATATAGCCGGTGTAACTTCTATTTCGTTTGTAATTTCTGTCATTGTTTCAAAGGTACTTAAACTGATGGTTTCAGTGTCTTCAGTCGCCATAGTGCTATCAATTCCAGTCATATCGCTTTGTTCAGTCACTATTGCTTCCTTTTTTGGTGTCTCTTTTAATATTTTTTTCTCTGTTGTCCCCCTAAACTCATTTGTCTTTGTTGCTTCGGTGGAATTTATCACCTTTTCTATTTCTACTGTTGCTGTCGTCACCTTAAAACCAGTAACTCCCTGTTCTTCCCACCGTTTGGTACTCTCTTCTTCATGATAGCAATCAACCCCATCAATGTGAGTGCGATCCGATGGACTATGAAACAATCGTAGATCTCTCCACTGCGTCAAAAACCCGGCCAAATACTCACATCCAAATCGATTCTTTGAAATTCCCAAATATTTCAATTTCGGAAAAATCGTTCGTGTAACGCTATCCACTTCGTTCAACTCATTCCCTTCAAGTTTTAATATTTCCAATTGTTTAAAGTTTCTAAGCAGTAAGGTGAAGTTCAACTTTTGCAAATGATTGAAAGAAAGGTCAAGCACCTTCAAATTGCCCTGGTGATAGAATGTGCTGAATCCGAAATTCGATAAATTCGTTTGGCTCAAATTCAAATGCTGCAACTTGGCGAGCTTTTTAAATGTCGACGGTTGTAATTTTCCAACGAAATTCAAAGATAAATCCAATTTTTCAATCGACACTCCTAGCAAATCAATCAATTTCGATGTGGTTTCCAAGTGATTTCTTGAGATATTCAAATATCGAAGATGTTCCATGTGCTCTTTGGTGCAAGATAGTTGGGAACTATCATTTGATACGTGGAAGACAATCTCTTCTTTGTCGGAATTCATTTCGATTGAGGTTCCCACACAACTTAAGTCGATCTCTTCGATGTGGTCACATGATACCGGCATTGACTCTGTCGGTGAATGACAATCAAATCGCCCGATTGATTTCCGGTCATATTTTGAAATCAGAACATTTAACGTCGTCGCTTTAATGCTTTCAGTTGTGGTCGTTGGCATTTCTTCGGATGTGACCATTGCTTCTACAATTTTACCATCATCATGGTAGCAATCAACACCATCGATATTGGTTTGATTCGATGGATTGTGAAGCAGCCGTAAATGTTCCCATTGCGTTAAAAATGTCGCCAAATAATGGCAAGAGAAGTGATTTTTCGAAATGCCCAATGAACTCAGTTTTGGAAAAATCGTTCGAGTCACGCTATTTATTTCCGTCAAATTATTACCCTCCAAATTAAGCTCAGATAATTCTTTAAAATTCCTCAAAAATACCGTAAAATCTACTTTTCCCAGTCGATTGTACGAAATGTCAAGCACTCGCAAGCGCCTTTGGTGATAAAAGGAGCTGAACCCAAAGTTTGTCAAATCAGTATGACAGAGAACGAGATGCTGTAAATTATTGAACTTTTCAAGTAAATGTTGTGTTAATTTTCCAATATAATTCGAAGATAGATCCAACTTTTCCACGGACGATCCTAGTTTTTCAAGGAATTTTGCCGTGTTTTGCAGTTGATTACCCGAAATGTTCACGTATCTCAGATGCTGAAGATCGGTTTCTGTACAATGCAACTCTGCGCCACCTTTTTTCATGCGAAAAACGATGGTTTTTTCTCTTCTTAGGTCAATGTCAAGCGAATTGTTGAGACAGCTGGTGTCAAGCTCCACAACATCATTCCATGAAATATACACTTGCGCCGAGTTCAATAGTGGCATGAAGATATTACGATCAACACGTTTAATTGAATTATTTTCCAAAGACAGTACTTGCAATTTCCTATTCATTTCGAAGCAAGATTGATTCGGCGAACTGTTGAAACTGATGGACGTATTGCTCAAATTCATGTGCTTTAAATTAGTAAACTTTTCAAACGTGTGCACATTTATTTCTCCCAAAAAATTCGAAGATGCATCCAATGTTTCGATTGATGTTGATAAAATTCCGATGAATTGTGCCATGTTATCAAGCTGATTTCCGGACATATTCATGTGTTTTAGGTGCAGAAGTTGGGTACTAAAAAAAGATAAGTTCTTGGTACTGTTTGTGACACGAAATGAAAATAGTATTTTAGAAGAAGTTTCAAATCGAAGTAAATTTCCCACGCTGCTTGTATCAATCTCCTCGGCTTCGTTCATGTCGATTCTAACCCGAGCTCCATTCATCAGTGGCAAGAAAATGTTACTATTCCAGCGCTTAATTCGATTCCCTTGCAAGTTTAAATACTTAATCTGCGTGTTTTTTGCAAATAACGTTTTATCAATCATTCCAATTAAATTATGACCCAAATTCAAGGTAACCAGATTACGAAGTTCCGAAAAGGTTCCAACATTCAAATAATTTATTTCGTTGAAAGATAAATCAATTTCACTTAAACTCAATGCTCCATAGAATAACCGGTTGCTAATCTTTGTGATTTTATTGTGGGATATGTTGAGCTTTTGCAGTTGATGATCGTTTGAAAATGCTTCTTCTATTGCACTCAAATTGTTGCAAGAAAGATCAAGGCTTGTAAATTGTTTTAAATTGGAGAATGACAGAGATTCATTGCTCGATATGTTTGCGTTGTATAAATTCAAGTATTTTATATTGCTGAGTCTTTGAAAAATATTCATACCTCCCACTCTCGCCATGACCTCTGCATGGATACTTCCTACATCGTTCGATGATAGGTCCAATGTTTCAATGTTCGATGATCCCAATAATTCGATCATTTGTGGAATATTCGAGAGTCGATTGCCGGAAACGTTCAAATACAGAAGATTTTGAAAATTCTCTTTGGTGCATCGAAATTCGGAATTGGTGTCAGTTGCGCGGAAAACAAGTTCATTGCCATCTAGTTCAAATTCAAGCTTATTACCGGTGCAGCTTGTGTCAATCGCTTTTACATTTTCCCATGAAATCTCCATTGCAATTGACATTTTCATCGATAGTAACATAAGATCACAATCAAAACCCTTAATTGGATTATTTTTAAGCTTGAGCGTTTTCAATTTTTTATTATTTTCAAACAGTTTTGCATTAATAGACACAATCAAATTATTACTCAAGTCCAAAATTCGCAAATCATGTAGCGTTGAAAATGTTTCTGTTTCTAAAACTTTTATGCGATTCGATGATATGTAAATTCCTTTTAAATTCGGCACATTATTGAAAAGTGATGATGGAATAGTCTCCAGATTATTATTTGTTGCTTTGAAGGTTTCCAAATATTGAAAATTCAGGTCTGATGACGATAAGGACACAATGCCATAATTTGAAATATCAAATTCACGCAAATTTCGAAAGTTGGAGCGAAGTTTTTCGTGTAAATTATTTCCTCTGCAATCACCAGTTTTCAGAATTTTCACTTCTGAGTCTTGTGAATAGGTAAAAAGTGCTTTGTAACATTGGGTATAATCATTTTCATATCGATAATTATAATTATAAGAGTATCGATCATAATATTGATGGCGAGCGAAACTACCACAAATTAACGTCACTGAATCGTATGAATAACCATCAGTCCGAGTACAATCAATGATTTCTTCTGACACCGACACTTTTAGAAAACTGATACAAATCCAAAAGAAAACCGATTTCATTTTAAACTTCTTTGTTGTGCTCTTTGCATTTCTTTCACAAAACTAAATGTATGGGAAGCACACAATGGGTTTATATAGTGAAGTAAGATAAATTTATCATTTCGAGAACCATTGCACTCTCGTCCAGAGCTTGAAATCGTCACTTGCAAAGAGCGAGCTTACTGGAAACCGCTGCTAGGTATGCTGGTGTGATTATTGTCGTTGGTATTTGTGTAAGCTTGTGACAACTGACAAGTGCACAAAGCCCTTCTGAGGTAATGCGCTTGGTATGTGTACGCCTACTATGCTTCTAGAAAGCGATTTCATGCTCGGATTTTGTACGAAGTAAATGCAATATAAATACATGAAAGTTCCGTTGATATCATCTACTTTTCTATAGCATATTTATAATGCAAATATTGCATGTAATGAATCCCATACGGTCCCTGGAGTGTACTGAACCTTTTCGAAGATAAACGAATAAATATAAAATGTATGGCTATAGTGAATGTACAGAATATTTATGCCACTGCGTATCTTATGGACTTGTTCAACAATATACAATATACATACACTATTGATAACACTTGTTTTAAAAAGATTTTTTATGGCAAAAGAACGAAAACGCGTGCCTAGATAAAAGTAAGATAGAATGCACTTGTTGCAATTTTGCAACATTTGCTTTGTCGATTGCATCATTTCCGCGATTTATTATAATGTTTCCAGAGAACTCGTGTTCAAGCAATTTCATAACAAATGCAAAAATTGCATTTTATAAGAAATTTATTTATAAATCTTTTAAGTGAGAGAATATATGAATAATCTATCAATGTTATAAAGAATTTTGCATTTGATTGCTGTACATTGTTGAAATTAACTTTGAAATCGCCAAATTTGATCTCATTAGATACAAATCTGAACAAGATTTATTTTCTTTATTTTGTTTATTTATTTTAATGCTATATGCAAACTGACAATAAATTATAAACTTACATACATAGTAACATCATACTTTTAACAGCCTCGATGGCCAATTACAAAAATTAATTGGCTATTTTTATGTTTAACTCGTTATAAAGAAATTTATTTATTTTATTAATTAGTATCAATGTGTCATTTCAAAGAATGCAGATCGCCCTTGTAAATTTTTTGATACAATTTTCTCAACTTTAAAACTTGCTTTGAACTCATTGATTCTACAAATCAAAAGCGAAATGTTGATAAAGTAGCTTGAAAAGAGATTTTGACAAAATGGACAAAATATATATAGTGTCCATTGGCGTTTTGGTTTTGATGTATTTAATTATTCAAAAATTTTAGATTACCGATAGCTTTTTCGGAGTTTGTTTTATTGAATTGAAGAAAAATTCAATATTACACACATTTTGCCACGGAAAAATTCTCTTCATCACTTTGTCTACCATCAACAAAATTCTTCAATTCATACAACAAATTCATTTATTACTTTTCTATAAATTGGGCTTCTTTGGAAGAAAACATTTCAACAAGAAATAAAAAAAGCAAGTAATAAAAGACAATTCATTTTTGCATTTTCGTTTATTCTATTTTATCTTTCAACAAATAGAGCGTTAGTAGTGTTAAAAATGTTATGGAAATTACATATTTTTTTATTTTAAATGATGAGAGAATGTTGATATGTAATAAGTATTAGCCTAATTTATTGATGATTTGATATTGATACTAAAATACTGACGCTAGAAGCAAGTAAATGTGGACTTGAATAGAAGCGATTGAATGGCTTATGTTAAGTACTAATTCTTATTACGGTGGAGAGTTTTCGTGTGGCGTCTAGCTCCATCAAGCGTTGCAAAACGTGTATCGCATAGTTTGCATGGAAATGGTTTGTCACCCGTATGATGGCTTCGCATATGTTGCTTTAATTGATGTGAATTTTGCTTTAAGTCTTTACATACGTAGCACTGATACAGGCGACGATTGCAGCGTTCTTCGTGAGTTTCCTTGTCACTTTCTTGGAAAAAGGGTCGATAACATTTGGCACAACGAAACGGACGTTGTTTGGCATGTGTTGCCAAATGTTGCTTAAGATTGAATTTTGTACAAAATCCCTTTTCACAAACACCACATCGGAAGGATTTTTCGCCTAAGTGTTTTGCTTGCATATGTCGTTTCAAATTATATTTGTTGAAACATTGATATGGACAGAGATAGCATTCTAATCGTCGGCCTTTGCATTGATCATCATGCAATTGTTTTTCATTTTCTTGAGCGAATCGTTGACCACATTTGGAGCAGGCAAACGGCAGTTCTTTGACGTGAGTCCGAAAATGCCTCTTTAGATCACCATTAAGTGCAAATGCACTGGAACAAACATGGCAAGCGAATGGCTTAATGCAACTGTGAATTCGCATGTGCCGCTTTAGTCCATGAACTTCCTTAATGACAGTTCCACATAAGTAGCATGCATACTGATAAGCTTTGCATCCATTTTCGTGGTTGATCTTTTTAGTTTCATTCGCAAATCCACAGCGACACTTCGAACAGCTGAATGGAAGTTTTGGACCATGGATTTTTTTGTGTTGATTTAACTGGCTCTTCTGTGCAAAAGCCTTGGTACATATTTCATATTCAAAGGGCTTCTCGCCAGTGTGGGTTCGAATATGTCTTGTGAGATGTGATTTGTACGATGAAACATAATCACAGAAATGACATTTGTATTTCTTCTGTGCACTTGCCACTGGTTTCTTCGATGTTTTCCCGTTGCGATCTCTTTTTGCGCCTTTGTTCTTCTTGCCATCGCCTTTTCGTTTCTGATTTGCTCCCTTGTTGTTCAACTTTGGTCTTGGTCCGCGTGAGTCTTTACCAACTAATTCATCTCTATCTGCTTCGGCTTTCAAGCATCCGTTTTCTTCTTTTTCGTTTTTTTTCGTCAAGCATTCGTCTTCGCACTTGATTTCCTTCTTCACAGGTTCGACTTCGCTGTCACTTTCGCTCTCTGATTTGATTGAGGCGTTAGCTTCGACTGGCGACGGCGGTAGTGGATAATGAAGCAATTCGATGCCATCCGTGGGTTCTTCTTTGACCACAACTTCTTGCTTCACAGTGACCTTTGTGGCTGATCGTTTGCATTTACATTTGCGCTTCATCTTTCCGCAACAGGCTCCTTTGCTTCGATACGGATTCATTGCGACTGTAGCTATAATAAATCAAAAAGAGAACAAATTCAGTCAATAGAAATATGCGTACTACACAAGTTCTGATGACAAGTATCAAATGACAAAATTTCCTGCGACATAAAGTCATTGAATGACGTCATCGAATTAACGAGAAATATGCGAAGTTCAAGGAATGATTGAACAATATCCAATACAAACACAAATCAAACCAGAAAATCACGATCAACTAATAAACTTTTATCAAATTATGTTTTAAATTTTGAAAAAAGGAATCCTATTTTTATTGCTTACGTTTTACTCCAAACTAGTTTTCTGTTCAAATATCCTTTCGACAAAAATAAACTCAAAATGGCTTTAGTTAATCATTGAATTAAAGTGTTTCTTCGAGGTAAATGGATTTTCTTAAATAATTTAGTAGGAAATATATCGAAAACTCACCTTTTAATATTATTTCTTTTGTGCAAAAAATAAAATTCCAATATTGTCAGCATAAAATGTGCTCACCAATGACCATCTGCTTATGAGCGTCTCCAATCACTGTGTGCGATGATGAATCAGCAGAATTCATTGGCTTGGTGAAAAATGGCGCGCACAGCTATAATTGTGTTGGTTATTCAAAGAACCGCGATGAAGTTGGCCACACACGTCAGTGTATTGACAAACATTCAAATTAAGAAAGATGTTAATTTTCGTAGAAAAAATAATAAAATTCATGTTTTATTAAAACCATGGCCGCTTTATTTTCTTTCATATCCGAGAAAGTAAAAGTTGAGACATGAAAGTGTGAAAGTCTTCAATGATTTATTTTCGTCTTATTTATGAAATTAAATCGAAAGATCTATGAAGTCAAATTGAGGCAATAAAATTGAAACAATTTTAGTTTTTCCCACATCAAAATACTCAATAAAAATCAAATTCAAGGAGATTTTTTTTGTTATTTGAAAGTTTATAAATTCTGAGAACACATAAAACTCATTTCGATAAAATCAATTTAAAATGTTTTAAATTTACCAAAGGATCTGTGAATGGTAAAAAGATACTCTACCCAATAAACCATTTATTAGATTAATAAAATGTGTCTTTCAAATCATATATTGAGGCAAAGTCCATCGGATATATTTTCCTGCTACGGCGCTACATGATCCAGACTTGTATGCTTCCACTGTACAATTCTTACTCAAAATAAAATGTCTTACATCCGTAAGATGAAATTTTCCGCACTGTGATCCACAACATGCATTTATTACAAATATTTTACTTAAAGAATTCACGAGAAAACTGAATCTGACATTAGTTTTACGATACAAATAACTTTCGAAGCAGTTTTCATACAAAAACTACTAAAACTATGAATTTTTGTATCGCAGCCATGCCTATATGATATCGTAATCATTTGAAAATTTGCAGATGTTATTTTTTTCACAAAAAGTTAACATTCTGAAAGTTTGAAGAAATTTCAATGCATATTAGGGATACTTCCCATACAAAATTTCGTTTTTGAGCAAAAAATCCAAAATTTTGTTCAGGAGGTACCCTCAATATGCGTTGAAATGTCTTCAAACTCTCAGAGTGTTATTTTTGTGTGATAAAAATAACCTGTGCAAAGTTTGAGCTTATTACGATATCATACAGTCATAACTTTCATACAAAAATTCAATTTTACTTTCCCGCACACACCTAGTGTGCATTGAAATTTCTTCAAACTTTCAGAATGTTAACTTTTTGTGAAAAAAATAACCTCTGCAAATTTTCACATGATTACGATATCATATAGGCATGGCTCCGATACAAAAATTGCCATTTTTATCGTAAAACTAATGTCAGATTCAGTTTTCTCGTAAATTCTTTGAGTAAAGGATTTGTAATAAATGCATGTTGTGGATCACAGTGCGGAAAAGTTCATCTTAGGGATGTAAGACATTTTATTTTTGAAATTTTTGTATGAAAGGTGTGTCGAAAGTTATTTGTATCGCAAAACTAACATCATATTCGGTACTCTCGTACCCAAAAACCGCCCAATACACATTTTTGAGTGTTTACGTATACATTAAATATCACTTTTGGAAGAAAAATTGAATTTTTCACATGGATGGCCATGGGCATCACACCAGACATGACACTTCACTCTGTCAACCAAAGTCGCTCAAAATCTAATGGTTTCTATTCCTCGGCACCCCCAATCATCCTGTGAAGATTCAGATTTTGAATTACTTTTCTTGTTTGAAAGTTATCGTGTTAACAAATTTTTGCGTACAGCGTACAGGGTACAGGGTACGCACATACATTCGGACATCGAAAAAACGCTAGATTCGTGTTCTCTGGCCCCAAAAACACCCAGAAAACACATTTTTATGGGTGTTAATTTTTCGACCGATTCCAATACTAGGTGTGTGCGGAAAAGAAAAAGTGAATAAAAAGACATTTTTCAAAAAGTGAAGACAAGAAATTCATCTGAAAAAGTGTAAGAATTCTGAGAATCGGAAAAAAGAATAATGGAAAGGTAAGGTGTTTTGATAGTGAATTTATCCAGTGTGTAGAAAAAAATTAAATGTTTTTGTGTAATTAAGGTGTTGGTGTGTTAGAATAATTGACTTAAAACTAAAATGTAGAAAGAGAAAGAAAATTTGAGAATTGAAAATTGAAAGTAAATTGCACATGAGAGTAACGAGTTCGGTTATAACGACATCTGGTGGTGAACATTTGAATTGTGACCCGTCACAAGCGCCATCTCTGTGTAGTAGTTTATAAACGTAAAACCAGAGGGTGTGAAGCCTTGTTTTGAATTTTAGTTGGTACATTTTGACACCAGATGTAGCCGACGTCGTTCTTGATGTGCGTGGGGTGGACACCGGTTTTTTTTTGGAATGATAATTTTTGTTTTTAATTTTTAAAATATTTTTTACGAGAAAATATTACAAAAATTTGGCTATTTTCTCCGTTTTTTTTAAACTTTTTGAATTCGAGGGTATCTCTCCCCGTTAAACTTATAAATATGGTTATAATATCTCTTAAAAGTAGAATACAACTGTTTTGTGTTCAAAAAGGTTTCAAATTAAAGTAGATATAATAAAAGAAAAATTGATTAAGATTTTGTGTTTAACATTTTTTTTATTGAGTGAACCCCGAGCAGTAGATGAGAAGCAACGCCATCTATCGTAGTAGTTAGATTTTCAGAGTTTTTTTATAATAATTATTATTATTATTTTTGCCATTTCCCAGTCAACAATTTGTAAAATTTTCGGTTTTATTGGCGCCGCTGAACAAAAGTTGTGATCGTAAAAAGTTGAGATCTTGAAAAGTTGAGATCGTGAAAAATTGTGATCGTGAATTACCACATTGAGATCGTGAATCAACACATTGTGATCGTGAATTAAAGCACTGAGATCGTGAATTAAACCACCGAAATCGCGAATAAACATTATAACATCGTTGAGATCATAAAAATTCAGTTCATTTCAATTTGAGATCGTAATATTCAGTTTAAGATCGTGAAAATTCAAAGCAATCCAGACCCAAATAGTGAATTCAACGAACTATATCGTGAATTTAACGCACAAAATTATCAAGTATTGAGAACCAGCAACATAAGATCGTGAAACTCAGTGCCAGTTTAAAGTCAACTGAATATAAACAACAGCTCAACAATAGTGACACAACACCATCAATGTACAACGGATAGCAAGAGTGACACCGAACCAAAGTAATACATCAATGGAGCTACAGCAACAATACATCAACAGTGATTCTTAAGCGACGACTCATTAAAAGGATTTCAACAACAGCGATACCACCAATACCAGCGAAGTATAGTGCAGTGCAATATTCATAGTGCAGTACAATAAATCATCGTATCGACGACCAATTAAGAAATAAAAAATTAAGTGATTAATTTTAAGAAATTTCAAAAAAGAAGGGAAGAGAGAAAAACTCATATATTCAATTATTCATATAAATAGTGAAACATTGTGAGCAGTTTTAAGATTTCCTGCAAAAGAAATCAATTGTAGGCAAAAGTTGCATATTTTAAAAGGTCGTGCCATTCATCTTTGTTATTTTTCCGTACACACCTAGTGTGTAAGGTAAAGTATTGGAATCGGTCGAAAAATTAACACCCATAAAAATGTGTTCTCTGGGTGTTTTTGGGGTCAGAGAACACGAATCTAGCGTTTTTTTAGCAACCCTGTACCCTGTACGCAAAATTTTGTTAACACGATAACTTTCAAACAAGAAAAGTAATTCAAAATCTGACTTCACAGGATGATTGGGGGTGCCGAGGAATAGAAACCATTAGATTTTGAACGACTTTGGTTGATACAGTGAAGTGTCATGTCTGGTGTGATGCCCATCGCCATCCATGTGAAAAATTCAATTTTTCTTCCGAAAGTGATATTTAAGGTATTCTTAAACATCCAAAAATATGTATTTCAAAATAAATCGATTTTTGTATGGAAGCCATGCTCGTATGATATAGTTATGAGCTGAAACTTTGCACGGGTTATTTTTTTCACACAAAAATAATATTCCGAGGGTTTAAAGAGATTTCAATGCATAATAGGGGTACCTCTGGAACAAAATTTGGGATTTTTTTGCTCAAAAACGAGAATTTTGTATGGAACGTATATACCACTCAATTGTATTGAAATTTCTTCAAATTTTCAGAATAATTGCTTTTTGTGAAAAAAATAACATCTGCAAATTTTCACATGATTACGATATCATACAGGCATTGAAAAGTCTATCAAAAATTATTTGTATCACAAAACTTATATCAGATTCAGTTTTCTCATGAATTCATATTTACGGTAAAAGATACGTAATAAATGCATGTTGTGGATCACAGTGCGGAAAAGTTCATCTTACGGAGAAGAAGAAGATTTTATTGTTTATGAGTTTTGAATCTTTGAAAAACGTGAGAACTTTGGAGACGAGTAACTCTGATTTTTCCTGTTAATTTGTTTTAATCTCTTAGGAGTTGATTTTTTATTTTTCTGAGATTAAAACTTGAAATC